GGTAAGAACTGGAGGTTTTCTTTCTTTTTTTGGAGGGGGGACTGTCCACAAACAAAAACATTGGCTAATTCATCAGACGCTTTCTTCTGCTTTGAATAGTTTGCCCAGATCCCTGAGCAACTATCCCATGCAATTTGCTGGTAGCCTAAATAACTTAAATTCAGGTACACCCAGAGCGCTGCCCAGATCTGCCCCTGCATGCAATAATTAGGGTTCTCCAAGTGCAAACCTGCAGCTCAGGAGGCAGTAAGCTCCACCAGCGTCTCCAGATGGCTACCTGCTGGCGGTGGCCCGTGGCGGGGACGGGGCGGGGATGTGGCGCAGTGTGGCATGGCTGCGTGGAGAAGGCTTCTGTGGAAACGTGCCACTTGTGGGTGGCACCGTTCCCCCAAGCAAATGCCCTGTGAAACTGCGGCCTGGTAAAGACAGACCCGCTCTCTGTTGCCCGATGGAGGGGCAGAGACTCGTAGGAGACCCAGGGAGGCCAGGTATTGCATTCCTTACCTGTGAAATAACCCCTTGCAATCCAAACGCTTGGGGAATTCCTAGATCTCTTTGTAGCCACATTTCGGCTGTGACAGCGTGAGGATTTAAGTAAGGCAAGCTCTGAAGGGGGAGATTATTATCTGCTTTTAGAGCAACGGGGAGAAAGCAGCTGGAAAAAACAGACCTGCTTTTTACAAACCTTGTCTTACCTGATCCTGCTGGTAACAGGAGGGAACGTACGGGCCGGCCAGTGCACCAGGTTATTCAGAAATGACTGGTTTTGAGTAAATCCAGAATTAACCTTTAAGTGTGGGCAAGCCCTAACGCTTGAATTATGTAAGGAGGGATCTTCTGGAGCAGGTGAAGAGAGAAAGGCAGAAACAAAGCTACTTGATTGAATCAAATATCAAATTTAGGCTGAAAAATAGGGGAATTGGGAAGTTTGGCCAGGGAAGCAGTGACAACTGTTGCGGGGATATTTAGATGCAAACGGGGCCCTGCTGCACAAATGCCCCCAGGGGAGGACGGCTCCTCGGCAGGGCTCTGCGCAGGGAGACCTAACGCAGTACTTCCACCTCCGGCGCTGAGGACTCTCCAGCTGGGAGCGGAGGGCTTGGAGAGGGTGGTGTGTGTGCGGGTGGAGTTGTGTACACTCAGCCTTCTCAGCCAGCCACAATAAATTATCTCATTAGTAAACCCAGGGTAGCAGTGCTCCTCAGCACATACCCAGCCTCCCACAGCACAGAAAAACTTTGCGTCTAATTAACCAAATCAAAGGGTCCCCCAGACGCAGCTTAAAGGGACGCTCTCAGCTTGAAGCCCAGGCTCCTTCAGCAAGTTGTTCTGTGCGTGGTGGAACTAATGAACCTCGATTTCCGATGGCTGGAGGTCTGGCATTCCCTACGCCCCCTGCAAGTCCGTCCTCTCCTCCCCCCGGCTCAGGCCCAGCTTCTTCCTACGGCCAGGGACAACCGAGGAGGGAAGAGGAGCCCGTGGTACGGTAGCCCCAACCCCACGCACTGATGGGGTTGACCGTGCTCACGTGCTGATGGCAGAGAACTGAGCTTTCACCCCGGGGGTTTCCTCGCAGTGAGGGACTCCCTGAGGTCACCCTTTTCTTCCCTCCTGCCTTTTTTTCTCACACCTTTAAGACCTCTGTTTCCCCACAAGTGCTCGTGGCTCAGCGGGACGGGGCTGCACGGGGAAGGGAACCCTGCTCCCCCAGGACGTGTGGCTGGGAAAAGGAAAAAATGCAGGTGCTGCTGATGCAGCGGCTTTTCAGTTGCATTTTTCTGGTTTTACAACTGCTTGGCCCCCTCTCCTCTTTATTAGTGGGCAAAAGACAGGCAAATGCCGAATGTAAAATGCTGCTGTTCCAGCTGTAAGCAGAACTGCACAGCCCCCGGGGCAGGCGAGCTCCCGGGTGCTGCGGGAGGAAGGATTCGGGGGTGTTACCCCTCAGGAGACCGAAGTCATGTTTGTTTGAGGCACAATCCCTTTCCTCAGAAGCGTAGGAGCTGCAGCTCTCCCCCTGCCCGCCCAGCTCCTGCGCCAAGGGGGCAGCTTGCTTTACAAATGCTTTTCTCTTCCCCTCGTGCTGGAAATTTGATTCTACAAAAACACTTAGACGGCAGCTAATTGCCAACCCTGCAGTGACTTAGCGCTCTAATTCCTGCCAGTCAATGAACCAGCCCAAAGAGCTGGTTTTCATAACTTGCTGAATGTATGAACACAGCCCTGGAGACATAACATAGCTGGGATTTTTTTTTTTTTTTTCCTGGACAACTTCTGGATCCTTCTCAATTTTGGAAATGTCTTTCACTCCACAGGGCATAAGGAACATCCAAAGGTGGAGCGGGCAACCAGGCCCATCCCAGGGAGACATCAAGCAGATGTGGACCCACAGAGGCCCCGGAGACCAGCTGGGGTGCCAGGGAAGAGATGATCGTCATGAAATTGGTTTGAAGGTAAAACTGGCGTCGTCCAGCAACGTGGTGGGATTTTTTTTTTTTTTTCCTGGACAACTTCTGGATCCTTCTCAATTTTGGAAATGTCTTTCACTCCACAGGGCATAAGGAACATCCAAAGGTGGAGCGGGCAACCAGGCCCATCCCAGGGAGACATCAAGCAGATGTGGACCCACAGAGGCCCCGGAGACCAGCTGGGGTGCCAGGGAAGAGATGATCGTCATGAAATTGGTTTGAAGGTAAAACTGGCGTCGTCCAGCCTGTCTGTTTGTGATCTGAGGGCTCATCATCATCTCTCCAGGGGTTCCTACCTCCCAACAATGTCCACGCCTTGCAAAGGTTTCCTTGATCTGCTGGTTTGTATCCAGAGGGCTGCTGCAAAAATTGTTGTGCTGGCCGATGGCTTAGACCACATCATTCCTCGCCACGCTCCTCCCTGGCACCCCCTTTTCTCTGCCCCAGTTGTGGACTGTTCATCTTCCCTCTCCCAGCCCTTCATTATCCACCTCTCCTCCACCCGCCATCTCCCATGCAACAGAGGCCGACTCCGTTGTCCTTTTCCAACAAGCCCCTTCATGCTCTCTCCTGCTCTGCTCCACACCTGGGAGAAGGAGCCTTTGAGCACTTGCAAAGCCACCACATCGCCCTCCTTGAAGCTCTTCTTTGTCACGACGTCTGCAGAAGCTTTCCCAGCAGAGCTGCTGTGCTAGGAGCGGCTCCTTGCTCCCTCCCGCCGCCTGCTCTGCCTGCACCCAGCTGCTGGTTCTTCCCTCCTGCCTGCCCTGCAGAGCTTCGTCCTTCGTTGTAGGCTCTGTGGCTCTACAGCACTCGGCAGAACATGGTCCTCACGCAGTGACGGGAGCCCAAAAACGAGCTAAGCCACGTTCGGGCCAGTGGCTCCAGAGATGGTATGTCGCTTCATCTGCAGGTGCTGAATTTGGGCACAGCGAGGTACCAGTTCACCCTTGGAGGTGTGTTTGCTGTCCCAGCTGGACTGCGGCGTAGCGGGACAAACGGAAATGCAAAGCCAAACCCGGTTTTGGAGCGGGTAGAGCTGTGGTCAGCGTCTCCTGTGGAGGCAGAAGCCGTCACACGAGTACAAATCGTTCCTCCTCCGCTGTGACCCCTCCCCTGTTGTCTGGGGGGGGCGTTGACCGGCCCCCCGGTGGCC